TACACTAATCCACACCCCTACACTAATCCACACCCCTACACTAATCCACACCCCTACACTAATCCACACCCCTACACTAATCCACACCCCTACACTAATCCACACCCCTACACTAATCCACACCCCTACACTAATCCACACCCCTACACTAATCCACACTCCCTACACTAATCCACACCCCCTACACTAATCCACACCCTTACACTAATCCACACCCCTACACTAATCCACACCCCCTACACTAATCCACACCCCTACACTAATCCACACCCCTACACTAATCCACATCCCCTAAACTAATCCACATCCCCTAAACTAATCCACATCCCCTAAACTAATACAGAACACGTCTCTTAAACCTGCTTGTATACTTTTTTCTCTTATTTATCCACATTTACATTCTTGAAACAGCACCAATGAACGTGCTTTGAGCTCAAGATTAACACGTCTTACTAGTAATTAACGAGCGATACTTTACCTACAAACGTAGGTTCTTAATTTTAGTGTTGGAACGGATCCCCTCCCACACAACTACCGACTCGACCACGCCGACCCCAACCTACTAGCTACACGTGTATTATTTTAAGTGCAGAAAAAAATCAACAGATCATTGCAACCTTATATCGCTGGTCTGACCGATAACCAAACTAATCTTAATCCGTACATCAACCCCAGATTATACTAATCTTGTGCATTACCGTATCCACCTACTGGATATCAATCCAATGGTATGGTTTAACGATAAGAAACTTCTAATACCAAGTGAACAGCTGCTCTCCTTTTGTCATCTCATCCCCACCCCATCCCCTTCTGATGAAATATTTTAACACCTTTCTTCAATACGGTGTTACATCACCTCACTGATAAAATCTTTAATACATTTCTTCCATAAGGTGTAGCATCTCCTCACTGATAAAATCTTTAATACATTTCTTCAATACGATGTTACATCTCACTACTGATAAAATCTTTAATACATTTTTTTCAATACGATGCTACATCTCCCTACTGATGAAATCTTTAACACATTTCTTTAATACGATGTTACATATCCCTACTGATAAAATCTTTAACACTTTTCTTTAATACGATGCTTCATCCCCTGATGTTCAGAGTTTCTTCTAGGTATCTCTTCGGGGGGGGGGGAGAAAGTCTACCGCCCCCCCCAACGAGATGGAATAAATATCAAGTGCCCCCCCCCCCCCCCTGGAGAAAAAAGACTGGAAGACACACTGCTGACGTTTTAAGCCAACGACCCACCACACAAAATATGTTAATGTACACGGTAGCGCCGATGTACAGCAACAAATCTCACATTTTTTAAAAATAATTAAAGAAAAAAGTCTTTTATTGTATTCACGGAATGCACTAAAAAGTTAAAAAATTAACGTAGTTCTGTTATTTTTGTTTACATTTTCTGTAATAAAACGTAAACAACCTAATTTTTTTTTTAAATTTTGGTGTAGTTGCTTCAGATACTAAAAACATCAAGTACATCCAATCTTTCGTAAAGTCCAACACAAATCGAACACTGAGATTTTTTTTAAACTTTATTTATTTTAATAACACCATACATGATTTTTGAAACATTTAATGGACCTTTCGAATAATTTCGAGACGATTTTCATTTGGGCTCACAGAGTATTTCTTATCCCAACCATTTTATTTAACGCTAGTTCGGTGAGTACAAATCTAAATATAACCTTCATGAAATCTCTAGTTAAGAAAAACAAACGATATAAGATATAACAACAACAAAAAAATTTTGAACTGTTAAATCTCCTATAAATAGCTTAATTTATCATGTGGTTAAGTTGGTTGTTCGTTTATAACTCGACACATTCGGGGTAACAACTACGTTTAGATTTTAATTATGTTTTTTTTTACATTCAAATGTGTTTCATTTTTTCTTAAAAATGTACAACACTTTAATAAATAAGTTATTCCATTATAAAAAATAGCAATTTTTCAAGTGTTACACATATTTAAGGTGAACTCATCTCAAAGTTCAGATAAATATAACTCTTAGAAAAAGCACAGAAATACTTAACACAGAACAAAAAAGAATAGTTACAGGGAAATGGAGGCATCAAATGTTTTTTAAATTTACAAATGTTTTATTTTATTGTTTCTATAGCCTATTAAACGACTTTCCATAGAAAATGTCCTGCGTGGTTGAGTTGGTTCTGTGGCATTATTTAATAAATATGGATTTCTATTTGAAGTGTATTCTTAATGTCTTATTTTAATAGGCCCATTATTTCAACACTCAATTAGGAAACTGCGAAACCTAAACTAGGACAAATCTTAACAACATACGTCGTTTGATATCGTAAAAAAAAGTGGTATTTAAACTGGTAGGGAGTTTTTGTGTGTTTGAAGAAGTGGGAAATAGGGTTGGGGTGGGTATGTTGAGAGCGTGGCTTATCTGTTCTTAGTACAACTAGTATGATGATTGGCTAAGATCCTATGTCTTTCTGTTACTAAATATATTTAAACTATTCAGATAGATAGAACGGTTTTCAACAATTGAATCAAATGATCTTTTAATCTGACATTTCTTAAGTTTGTTTTTTTAATCTAACATTTCTTTAGTTTGTTCTTTTAATCTATCACTTCTTTAATTTTGTTATTTTAATCTAACATTTCTTTAGTTTATTCTTTTAATCTAACTTTCTTTAGTTTGTTCTTTTAATCTAACTTTCTTTAATTTGTTCTTTTAATCTAACTTTCTTTAATTTGTTCTTTTAATCTAACATTTCTTTAATTTGTTCTTTTAATCTAACATGTCTTCAATTTGTTCTTTTAATCTAACGTTTCTTCAATTTGTTCTTTTAATCTTACATTTCTTTAATTTGTTCTTTGAATCTAACATTTTTTTAATATGTTCTTTTAATCTAACATTTCTTTAATTTTTCCTTTTAATCTAACTTTCTTTAGTTTGTTCTTTTTTTATATCTGTTTTGAGATTTGCTCGAAGGTTAGTTGCCAGATAAATATTTCACGTAGATTGACATAGATTACATGTGTTGTTGACTGAACCAACATTTCTGGTACATTCAACTAGTGTTTTATTTTACTCCGCCGTCTTGAGATATGTACCTTTCGGCGTTGTCTCCGATCGAAGCAGGGGTCACTAGCACCGTTGCAGTTAAATAGATTTTAATATGGTGTTTACAAGAAAAGCAAACAAACTCACGTTACATTGAAGGCAAGATTTTTATTAATACCCCGTGGTCAAAGAATACAAGGCACACATATTTATTGCCGTAGCTCGTAATACACGCATATTCGTATATACATACATACATACATACACGCGAATAAACACTTCTATTCTCCACAAATAAACACAAACACCACCAAACACTACTAAAAATAGCAAGTTGTGTTAAATATTAGACTAGACATATTTTCAGACGAATTCGATTTTTTAAAGAATGTAACATGATAAAACAAAAATATTTCAATTTTTAAACATATAAAATAATTGAAAAAAAAAGGCACATAAACGAAGGGGGAACATAGCAATAATTTGTACACGTAGCTAATTTGTCTAGATTAGCAAATTACATGAACAAGTAGTAAAGTTGTCTTATCATTGATTTCTCATGATTATCTACACCAAAGTGTCTTTGTAAATAAATTGTTCGCCATATCTCTTAACAGTGACCCAAAAGAATTTAATTAATTTAATTTACCTCCTTATTAAAAGCTGGATTTGGCTGGTTCTTAGGAAGCTATATATATATATATATATATATATATATATATATATATATATATATATATATATATATATATATATATATAATATATATATATATATATATATATATATATATATATATATATATATATATATGTATATAAATATATATAAATATATATATATATATATATATATATATATATATATATATATATATATATATATATATATATATATATATATATATATATATATATATATATATTTAAATGCTGTTTTCTATGATTTAAACTATCACAAATGCGCCTCGTGCTCACACACAACTGAAAAGTTGCTTGCAAATAGCTCCCCCACTAAAACGTGAGTGAGTACAATATAATGTAATACGTTACATGACCTTAGCATGACCTTAGCCTTATAAGTTCAAGGTCAGCAGCAGGAATGGACCAGATGTATATAAATAGATTTTTAGTTTACATGAAAGTTTTGCTAACAGTTCAACATTTCCGTACGTTATGAAACATCTTATTTTCACACCACATGCATACATACATATTTTAAATCTCATTATTTCTTAACTTAAAAGTTCTTCCATTTATTTATTTTTAAAAATAAACTAGAAAAAAAATATGCATAAATCTTGTAGTGCCATTTTATTAAAGAAAAATAATTACCACCAAAAGTATTCCCAGGAAATAATTACAAACTTGAGCTGGCTTAATTAGTTATTTAAAAAAATTACATTCATCATTTCTCTGAATGCTGATGACAATTTAATGACTGGAATAAAACTAATAGAATGCGGGGCTAAGTCAATACACAATTATTGTATTTCTACCCGTGTATAAATATCAGGTGAAGAACCCCCCCCCCCCCCCCCCTCGGCTCCGTCACTTAACATTTGCACCATTTCAAAACAAAACATGAATTACATTTTTTTTTGTAAATACTGCATACATTTTCGTTTGAACAGTTGTAAGGACAAAATTGTGTCCATTTTATAAAGATGTAAAAAAAAAAATTTAAATGTATATATCAGTCATGCCAACCTAATCCATGTAAAAAAACTAAATTTAAAAATTTACATTAGGTATGCACAAGTTTTTTTTTGTCTTAACTAGAATGGTTGAATACTTGCACAATAGGACTATTAGATCAAACCTTAGCCTTAGCATCCATAATATTGTGTGCATAATATATATATATATATATATATATATATATATATATATATATATATATATATATATATATATATATATATATATATATATAAAAGCCCCCGCTTCTCTCCCCTTTCCCTGAAACTTTAGTGTGGAGAAAAATCCTATTTACACAATAATTTATTATAAAATAATTTAAATTCCATGTAAAAAGAAGTAAATCCCATTTATGTAGCCACTATGTACAATTTTAAGCACAGTTTCAAGAATTCTTTGTTTTAAGGAACAGCATCTAAAACGGTGTATATCACATTAGTTTATAAAATCCATCTTCATCAGAAGAAAGTTGGCGCTTTCATCTCATACTTATATTTATATAGTCCCGCTTTAATGGAATCTTCTTCCAAAAGGGGTGTCAGGCTTCTAGTGGACAACTGTTATCAACTTATACTTTACTAATATTAACACAAACTCTTATGGGTAACTAAATCCTAAAAATGTTAGATCTAACACCACGTTTACATTTGCGACAAGTATGCTATAAATGTATAGAAAAACAACTAGCAATAAATTCAATGTTATTTGAATTTATTTTCTTACGGAACATGTATACATACTTGTTTCGAGTTGTTTTTTCTAAACTTGTATAGTATAGTTGTCGCAAGTGTAAAGATGGTGTAATCCTAAAAAAAACTAATCGTATACAAATATTTACAACAAGGCACTTAGTTTATCTGCCGTCCACATTTCATAAAACTAGGTTTTGTATAGATACGTATTGCTAACCTTAGTAGTAGTATTTTAAGTTTACTAATTGTATCGTAAACCTACGTAATTTAAACCTACGTAGTGTAAACCTACGTAGTGTAAACCTACTTAGTGTAAACCTACGTAGTGTAAACCTACGTAGTGTAAACCTACGTAGTGTAAACCTACGTATTTTACAAGTCGTTTTGTAGCACACCGCACACGTGTTATCTTTTAGACTATTTTTAGACACATAACGCTGTTTCTAAAAGAGAAAATTGTGTTTCCAACAACCTAACTCCCCTATTTTTGGAAGAGTCCATTTCGCCAGGCCCTTACACAAAACAACAACCAGGCAAAACCAAGTTTACCCTAAGGGGTGCTAGGACTTGAGGTTGCTGTTGCAGTAGCAGTACTGTCTGATCTGCCGGTTCTTCTGCAAGATGCAAGCCGGATCGTTGCCGTACATGTTGATCCGGCTAATCTCCTTCTCGTTGACGGTGAACTTGTTCCGCGGCACGTCATGCGTGACGGTGACCTCGAAGTAACCGTGACCCGGCGTGGTGTAAAAGGTCAACTGGTACAAGGTCATCTCGTTTTTGTTCGTGCCGTTGAAATTGATGTTGTAGATCCCGCCCATGTCGTCCGTTTTAAGAAATTTAAGAACCTCCGTCCGCGTTTCCAATTTAGTCAGGTCAGTGACTTTTTCAACCTTTAACAACGCGCAGTCATTCCGGTACCCGGAAGTATAATTGTTGATGGTGTCAATGGTGTACTGAAGCGCCAATTTCGCACCGTTTTCTTCTAGAGAAACGTTCTTCCACGCTAAACATGCGCACCAATGCGGCGCGATCCCTGCGTGTTCACACGACCTCTCTAAAGGCACCTCTTTAAACAAACTAATCCCTCTCTTGCTTACGTCCCCTTGCCCCGTCCCATCAAAACGTAAAAAATCTTTAAACGTTTCGTGCAGATCAAAAGGCGTGGTTAATCTTTTCGTGTTGGTGCGTAGATTAGCGATGGCCGCGGGATACTTCTGCTCAAACCACCTGGGGAACAGGAAGGAGAAGTAGGGCAGACGTTCCTCAAGCTTCCCAGACCAGGTAGATCTTATCTGGCTGTACCTGGCACCGTGGTCCCCCATCAGGATGAGCAGGGTCTTGTTCAGGTAACCTCCGTCTTGAAGAAACTTGACAAGCTCCATCGTATCTGAATCCATCTGATCAGAATATAAAAATAAAAAACAAATTTAAAAACTCGGAATAATTATAAAACCCTAGGAAACTATACATTTAAATAATATTTTAATTTGACATTAACAACATGCTTGTATAACCCATATGAAATAATCTAAATAATCTTTTTAAAATCTGTATAATCAAATTACTATGGATAACTTGAACTACAAAAATTAAAAACTAAAATTAATGGACGTTTCGCGTCAAGGTCTTCGTCAGTAGTCCTATTTGTAATTTTATAAAAGTCACGCGAAAAAAAAACCCGTAGTTTGTCATCTTTTATGTATTCTAAAAAAAAATTCAAAGCAGCGTCTCTAGTTTAAGTCATCTTTAATGAAATTACATGAATTAATAGTTTATTTGAATACATATAATTTGTTGCATACAACTCTTTTCAAACATCAATCACCTACAAATGATTAAACATTGACAACCTTATATTCACACCACAAACCACCACCCACACACTCAATGATCCCACCACACACATACCCCCACACACCACCACCCACACACTCAACGATCCCCCACCCACACCACCACCTACACACACAATGATACCCCCACACCCCACCACCCACACAATCAACGATCCCCCCGCACACCCCACACACCACCACCCACACACTCAACACCCCCACACACACCACCACCCACACACTCAACGATCCCCCACCCACACCACCACCCACACACACAATGATACCCCCACACCCCACCACCCACACACTCAACGATCCCCCACACACACCACCACCCACACACACAATGATACCCCCACACACCCCACACACCACCACCCACACACTCAACACCCCCCACACACACCACCACCAAAACACTCAACGATCCTCCACACACACCACCACCCACACACACAATGATACCCCCAAACACCCCACACACCACCACCCTAACACTCAACACCCCCCACACACTCAATGATACCCCCCACACCCAACACACCACAACCCACACACTCAATGATCCCCCACACACCCCACACGTCTGTATGGATCGGGAGATACGTGATTTCACCCCACGTTACACTGACGTCACTGTATACATTTTGGATTTGGATTTGTTCCGAGTTATCGCCCATGTAGATCAAGTGGCTTAACTTTGTTCGATTTTAGAGTCAGCCTTCAATATTTGACCTATTTGACCTATTTGAACTCATCTATGTGATAGCAAACATTAAGCTCAGCTCTGTGATACAAACATTAAGCTCCGCTCTGTGATAGAAAACATTAAGCTCAACTCTGTGATAGCAAACATTAAGCTCATCTCTGTCATAGCCAATATTAAGCTCTGCTCTGTGATAACAAACATTAAGCTCAACTCTATGATAAAAAACATTAAGCTTAGCTGTGTCATAACAAACATTTAGCTCCGCTCTATGATAACCAAGTCATCGGATGCTGATGTAATTACGTCATCGTGGTGTTACACTGCCGTGTCTGACGAGGTCAACTATAGGTCCGGTAAACGCCAGGTGTAACACACTGCACACGCCACGTGTGACACACTACACACCACACCGAACTTCACAATAACAAATGTCACTTCGTGAAACGACACTATGACAAATGTCAGTGTGTCACACGTCATATAACACAAAACTGTAATCCTTTCTTAAAACACAAAACTCACTTAAAAAGACAATTCATACACAAGAAAACTGGACAGGACATTTTCCTACAATCGAATAAACAATAAGGGTCGGGATGACTCTACCTGATACGGAAATAGTAGGTAAACTTGGTACGGAATCTCTTGTTTAACGACAATACACATAGGGGTGAAACGTTTTTAGGATAAACTGCTTTAAGAGAATATTATATAAAACTTTAATATTTTAAAGGATTTTGAGAATCCGGAAATTCCGGTTACCGGAAATGACTAAAAAGTTTTTAGAAACCTATGAAGAGTATATATAGAATTTCGCCCTACTAACTGAGCGTTACTCAAGTTACGTGTTTACACACGCACAGACACATAGGCAGACCTGCCAGCGAGATTACGAAACTAGCTTTTTCCATCAAACATAGGTGTAAAATGTCGATTTTCTTGTCACGATTAAATATTTCCCCTATAGGCCTGCTCCCAGTGTTTCTCTTTCCCCCCCCCCCTCCCACCAAGAGTGTCTACCGCCCCCCCCCCCCCCCGAACGAAATGGAATTTGCATAGAAAATATATACTTTTACCAATGTCCACACACCCCACCCCCGCTTCGGAGTTTTTAGTCCGCCCCCCCCCCCCCCCCCCCCGAATATTTCAAGTGCCCCCCTCCCCACTTCCTACTCCGTAAACGGGAAATTAAAAAGGACAACTCACTCACTAAAACCTAACTCACTCAAACCATAAACACCACATGACCCTGACCTTGGTTATCAAATTGTTGTCGTCGTGGGTCATCTCGACCAGGAAGTGAAACAGGAACTTCCGCTTCTCCCTGTACATGACGAAAATATCCCGGATGTAGTTCAGCCAGACTTTGCCGAACGACCTTGACCCTATACACGGGTATTTCAGCGGTTTGTACAGCTTATCCGCCGTCAGGTAAAAGGGGCGGGTGTAAAAATCCGTGGGCTTCTGACCAAAGCCCAGCATCCGCCAGTTGAAAGGGGCGTGTTTGGGGGCGGCGTTACACCATGACGTCAGGTACCCCGCCTTCTTCATGTCGTGCCAGATGAAGGGGAAGTTATCCAGCTGGGTGGCGCCCTCGAAGTTTAACCTGCGAGGTAATTAATTAATTAAAATCAATTAGCGAGTAATTTCAAAAAACGAATAGAACTTTTTTTTTTAATTGGGACATATAAAAAATAAACCAGGAGTGATCTCCCCTAAACTTTCTCGAATATTCTTATATAAAACAACAGGGGATGGGAACTCGGGCTATAGACATGATTTTTAATCCATTTTAAATACTTAAAGTTTTAAAAATAGAATAAAATCTCGTAGACAAAAGAATTGCACACCAAGTGAACGCCAAAAAAAAAAAGTGCATAATAGTGCGCAATATTATTAGTACTTTTAAAATTTACATTAGTTTTTTGAGAAATCGGAAGTAGCGTAAATTACTACTTTCGGTCAACGGAAATGACTCAAAATTTTACAGAAGGTAGAGAATTAGATCTTTTACTTACATGTGAAATTTTGTTTATCTATCTGAAATAGTACTCAAGTTATAGGCTTTTGAAAATTTCAAAGTAGGAAAAGTACCACTTCCGGTTATCGGAAATCGCTCAAAAGTTGATACGGATCTACGATTTTGATAAAATACTTATATATGAAATTTCATCAACCTAGCTGTAACGGTACTCAAGTAATCGTGTTTACACACAGACACACTGACACACACAGACACACAGACATACGGACAAGATTGCTAAATTATGTTTTTCCGTATCGGTGAGATGTAAAACGTCGAGATTTGTAAAAATCTCGATTTTTTTTTTTTTTTGCACGATTACAAGACTTTCTCTATACTTCGTATATACAAGAAAGTAATTAATAAAAGTAACATACGAAAGAAAAAAAAATTACGGTAACACTTCATTTAGATACTTTTTTTAACATTAATCTTTAATGAATTTAATTGTAGCGAACGAGCACTTTATTTAATAAATGGAGTAGCTTTAAAGGGGCACAATCCATAGAAATAAAAAAAGAACATTGTATCCGCAATTATCTACCTTTATTTGGTTTTTTCAAATTTTTAAACGACATGAAATAGTGGAATGTAAAAAACGTTTGAGGGGAGGTTATCGTGGAAAATATAACTGTTTTAGTTCTTACATATTTCCTTCCCTTGGTTGCTAGGTGGACGTTAGGTGTGTTAGCGTGTTTGTGTTTGATGTATGTGATTTTTATGTGACGGAGGTAAATAGTTTGTGTGTGAGATGTGTATGTGATGTACATGTGATTTGTGTGTAAGTTGTTTGTGCATTGTCTCTGTGAGGTATGTGTATGATATGTGTGTGAAGTGTTTGTGTTATGTGATTTGTATGTGACATGTTTTTGGCGTGGTAAGTGTGAGGTCTGTGTGTGACGTGTGTCTGTGTGTGGTGTGTGTGTGAGGTGTGTGACAGATGTTTTAAGTGTGTGTGTGTGAGGTGTGTGACAGATGTTTTAAGTGTGTGTGTGAGGTGTGTGACAGATGTTTTAAGTGTGTGTGTGAGGTGTGTGACAGATGTTTTAAGTGTGTGTGTGAGGTGTGTGACAGATGTTTTAAGTGTGTGTGTGAGGTGTGTGACAGATGTTTTAAGTGTGTGTGTGAGGTGTGTGACAGATGTTTTAAGTGTGTGTGTGAGGTGTGTGACAGATGTTTTAAGTGTGTGTGTGAGGTGTGTGAAGGTGTATGCGGTGAGTGAGGTGTGTGTGTGAGGTGTGTGAGGTGTATGTAAGAGGTGTATTTGAGATGTTGTAAACACCAAGATAGAACACCCTACCAGAATGGGATGACATCTGATGATTTTAAAAACTGTAATCCAACTCTTCAAATTAACTAATACAACTTCAAACAACAGCTCAAATTATATTTTTTTTTAAATTGGCTAATGCTGCAATCCTTTTGTTGTTAGTTATAAGCAAATTTAACACTTTATTTCATAATTCTTCCTCAAAATTTTATCTTCATTTTCTTCCACAGGCGTTCATCTTAACTCTTACAAAAAACAATTGAAATAAATGTTGATGTAATATTTTATGATGAAAGAAAGAATTTTCGTCCAAGAATGATTTAGCAAGCATACGCTTTATCTTATACGAGCCGACCCGCAGCGTATCAATGACTATCATACGCCGCTAGTTAGTTGTTTTATTTTCTACTTTTCAGTAATTCATAATTTGTGAATTCGACAGTACCAATGCTGCCACTGAAAATATTTGCTTTAAAACACTATCAGGACGATACCTCCCACCCTCCTTTCACCCGACCCTGACCCCTACTCTAACCCCCCCCCCCCCGTGAAAGCAGCCTCCTCATAGTTACCTCCCCTAAGTTTAACATCGTTTCAAACTAGATTATCTGCCCCTAATAGCCGTCACTAAACCCGGCTCTACGATTGTAAACAATTAGCGTGAGCCAAAGCTCACCAGACCATGTGGGCGTGGGGGCGGGGGGTGGTAGGGATATGCCTAGAGAGGAAGAGAGGGGGATGCTAGGCACGCTTACAGTTTAGTGTTTTCTATGGTATCCAAGAAGAGAATTATATATATAGATGGCCTAGAGTGGTGGAGTAGAGTGTTCCTGTGGCCACTGCCTTATCCACACGCACTCACACACGTACATACCCCTACACACAACGGCACACATGTACTCCTTCCTCCTCATTCACACTCACGTATACACACACGTACCCCCCCCCCCCCCCACACACACACACAGGCACATTCATACACATACCACATACAAACACAAATTTGCTTAACGTTGTTAAAATTATAAAAATTCAACCGGATGCCTCCATGTCTAATCCTAAAGTCTACAGGATGTTTAACCTCACGAAAAACTGTGTTAAGCATGTACAACTACAACCAATACCGCTATGTAAACAAAGCCCTGGCTATGCCTTTGTGTAATCTAATCTATCTACACTAGAACCATCAGAACAAGAGTTAACAATTACATCGTGATGCGTATAACATTTCAAACTTCAGCCGATCCTAATTGGATTTTTATTTTTGCCTATTTACATAGCTCATTAAAACTGTGCGTCTGGTGTAATACCCCAGCTTTACACCAATTTACACCACTTTACAGCGTTGTTATGTGTCTGCTGTATTACCCAGCTTTACACCACTTTACAGCACCGTTGTGTGTCTGCTGTATTACCCAGCTTTACACCACTTTAGAGCGCTGTTGTTTGCTGTATTACCCCCAGCTTTACACCACTTTACAGCGTTGTTATGTGTCTGCTGTATTACCCAGCTTTACACCACTTTACAGCGCAGTTTGTTTGTCTACTGTATTATCTCAGCTTTACACCACTTTACAGCGCTGTTGTTTGTCTGCTGTATTACCCCAGCTTTACACCACTTTACAGCGCACTTGTTTGTTTACCTACAAATCATTAACGTGATCTTACAATAACTAGTAATAAAACCCGTCTCGTTGACGGAGCACGTTTTAGTTTGTCTTGTATCGTATTACATTTCTTCCCCGCGATTTCAAAAACATTCTCTGTTAAACAGGTTTAAGTTTATATTTGTGTAATTTCAGCATTAAATCCCTGTGAAAATAATGTTAGCGTCTCTAGTCTTTTAACTGGTCTAAAACGAGCTGTATTTTTGCGTGTTTACTTAGAATCTAGATCTATATGAAATGTTTAGATAATCAATTTAGTTCGACTTCAGGGGTATAGCGTATAAGCCGCGAGTGTTTCTGTAAAGCGAGCACACAGTCAAATATATTTTATAAATGTCCAACTAACTAATCAAATACAGATCAAATGGTGTGAGGTTCTTTTTAAATTAATGTTCAGGTACAAATCTGTGTTAGGGACTGCGTGGCCTAGCGGCTTCAAATCAGTTGAACGTCCCTGAGTCCACCCAGCTCAGATTGTTAATATTAGGGAAACAAAGGCGGCTGGGCATAATGCTGACCACACTATCCCTTCATATGCCTAGTTCCATGAATCAGTTGAACTCGACTTCAACTGCCCCATGCGTCTTGGGCAGGGAACGGGATTAAGAAGAAGTCATTTCTGTGTTATTCAAAGATTTCTCTACGGAGATGTGTACACACAATGTAATGAACACACTACTTTAGCCCTACTTTCAAATCGAGACAATTGATTGTACACATTGAATTAAAACAACAACTATTTCTTAAATTCCATATCAATAAGATTAATTATTTTGTTAGATTATAAAAATACAGATTTTTTTTTAAATTCTAGTAAAGCTAAAGAAAACGGGTTTCAAGCCCATTTGTAAGTTTGTTTTTATTATCTTTTCCCCTTAGTACCAATGACACATGAGGCAGATGAAGCAAATATATATTTCAATTACCTCAAAGGGGGATTGTGTAGTCAGCCCTATGTCCAGCTGCCCCTGTTAACGTGAGTCCCTGATTTATCCCCCCCCCCCAGATCCGATGGGTACCTAACTCACGTTAGGGAAATTAAAGGCGGCTGGGCATTGTGCTGAGTACATTATCTCCTCATCATATGCCTAGATTTAGAAACATATACATCTACTTCAGCTACCAAATAGATCTCTAGGTCTAAAGAGGAATCTTTACTTTTTCTTTTTAACCTTCCACCTAAAACGCTTTATATGTCTGCCTTAGGAACGAGTGACATCAAAACACCTGAGGAGAGCCCCCCCCCCCCCCGAAGAAAGCCTACCCCCCCCCCCCCCCCAACGAAATGGGAATTTATATAGAAAATGTATACTTTTACCAGTGTCCGCCCCCCCCCCCCCCAAGTGACATCAAAACACCTGAGGAGAGCCTAGATGCTCCACTCACCTGGATCAGGGTTCCTTCCAGGCATCTCTTCGGGGGGGGGGGGGGACCCCCCTCCCCCGAAGAAAGCCTACCGCCTCCTCTCCCCCCCCCCCCCAAATGAAATGGGAATTTATATAGAAAATATATACTTTTACCAGTGTCCGCCCCCCCCCCCCCCACCGAAAATATCAAGGGACCCCCCCCCCCCCCCGGGAGAGAAAAAAGTCTGTAAGAAACACTGACCTTGATTCGGGTAGCTCCCACTCAAACTTGCCAGTCAGCATGGGGAACATGACGGCCGTCGTCCCGTCCCCCACGATGTTGTGGGCTTCCAGCTCTATGGCCCCCTGCTGCAGGATGTACTGTCTCGTCTGCTTGAGTCTGCGCAGCCACGACATCCGGGACATTGAGTCGTACCCGATGATGGCAACACTCAGCCCATCTAACCCGTCTTTGAGTTCCGCTTCCGGGCGTTCTGCTTTCGCTTTGTCGTAGGCGACGCCGGCGTGAAGACCGAGGTAGGTTTTGTTGGTGTTGGTTTCATTGCAGGAGATTTGAAAGAAATCCGTCGTCATGTTGAAACCGTCGGGGATGTTTAAAACCGGGTCTCCGTATGTCACGTTGTAGTCGCCTTCCCTTACGATAGGGAAGTAATCGCAGGTTATGTTTCTCTTCAGCTTCGAGACGGTGAACTTAACGGTTCCGTTTTCGACGTAAACCCAGTCTTCCGCGGTGCATTTCTGCGGTGCGTAGCGCTTGACGGTTTTCATCATGATGGGGTCGTCTACCCGTAGCGTCGGGTGGATGCACTCTTGTCTGACGCGCGTGGCGGGTTCCTGTTGCCATAGCAACGAGAACAGGTTGAACCGGTTGGCCGGCAGCAGGGACTGGATCTTCAGGTCACGTGACCCCCGGCCGGCGAAGAAGACGAGGATGAGCACGACCCAGATGCTGAGGAAGGTCAGGGTTGTTTTCATCCTCCCCGGGCGGAGGTGCTGGAGGCAGAACTTGGGCAGCATGGCGCGCTGCTTGTAGCAGACGACGGTGCCGGAAAACCTGCGCTTGAGGGTCTTTAGCAGGAACCTGACGTCATCGCCGTAGTAGAACCGCTGTCGTTTGTTGCTGAAATCAGAAGAAAAAAAATTCAAATTTTGTTTGTTTCTAAATCCCAGAGATATTTTATAAAAATTACGGATGAAATACAAAACTAAGTAGTTGGTTAAGGCTACGACAATATCTGAACACGTCATTTAATTGATGTGGTACTTGTGTTTTATAGGAATCAAATATCATATTCATCGGGTATACAATCCACTGGATGATAAATCCATCTGTAAAACCATCTCATGTTAAATCTCAATTTACTTGGGATTAAACCTAACCTAAAAATCCCAGTTGAATTTAAATCCCACTTTTACTATTTACCCGTGATGACAACCTAAGGATGTCCTCGTTTAACTTTCGTATTCACATACAAATACCATCATAAGACCATCACATACAAATACCATCATAAGACCATCACATACAAATACCATCATAAGACCATCACATATAATATATCAACATAAACACCATTACATACAATGTACCATCATAAACACCACATATAATATACCATGATAAACACCATCACATATAATATCACATCATAAATATAATCATAACTTATATCGTGAATACGTTCACATATACCTTTGGAAACACCATTACAAACGTAACAAACGCCGCCACAAACACCAACTCAAACACGACCAATAGCACTATAACAAACACCACTACAAACACCATTACAAGTACCACCACAAAATACATCACACACACACCAACACAAACACGACAAAAACACGACCATAAACGCAACCACAAACATCACAACAAACATCATAACAAACGTCACTACAAACACCCCCACACACACCACCACAAACATGACCACACACACGACCATAACTACCACAAAACACCGCCACAATTGCGACCATAAACACCAAGCCATACACAACTGTCACCTCGTTTATTAAAACATAAAATCACAACTTCACCGACTCCTCTAACCCAATTTGTAAGCAGTGCGGTACCTTTATTAATTCAGCAGCCTAATCTCTGAACACAGTACATATCCTCTTAACTGCACTAACCACGCCCCTCCACATAACAATTTAAGCAAATAGTTCCAGAAGTGTCCTGCTTTTATAATGACACACCCACATATCTTGCCCTAGCTAGATGTATTAAACCTTGTTATAGTACCAAATTAATACCCGTAGCTAAGATATATTTAACTTTATATAGTAATATTATAGTACCCATATAACTACACCCAGCTAAGAAATAATTAAACTTGTAATAGTACCCTTATACCTACACCTAGCTAAGAAATAATTAAACTTGTAATAGTACCCAAATACCTACACCTAGATAAGAAATAATTAAAATTGTAATAGTACCCATATACCTACACCTAGATAAGAAATAACTATAGGCTAGTTGTTATAGCACCCTTTACTAAGATTAAGAAGTGCTAAATTTGTTTATAATTCCAATATAACGACACCGACATATGAAGAGCTACAATATATTATACCAATCTCACGACCCCGCTACTGAGAGTACTACAACTGGTCTTCGAGTTCAGATAACGGCCCTAACCTAGTTAGTACTAAATTATGGTGTGTGTGTGTGCGTGCGTGTGTGTGTGTGTGTGTGTTTGTATGTATGTGAGTGTGTGCGGTACCAAACACTGTATTCCCCTTTCTATGCTTGACCTACTAACCGCTTATTAAATTAAAAAAAAAATCTCAAAACGTTATCTTTCCAATATGGCACTTTATTTTATTAGGGCGGGGTTGGGCGAGGTGGGGGGGAGGGGGTTAAGAACTAAGCATTGATTAATATTTATCATACTATATTTTAAAACTAAAACGAGATAAGGCGAAAAAAAAAACCACACGCATCAATATTAACGTTGAATTGAGTTTCCCTCATGTGAAGATAGCCACAAAATATTATCTTGACGCGCGTATTTTCGCTTTTTTTGTGAAGTGTCACCCTGACGATGGGCGCCCATTCCACCCGCTCCTAGCTATACGGTACTAAGGAAGCGTTTTAAAATGTCAGTTTTCAAACAAAATTGAATCTCCTTCCGTCTTCCTTAGAGTCAATGTGACTTTACAACGAAACGATGTGTAGTTATAATCGTACTACGTTTTTTTTTAGATCTATAATAACTAATTTATAAAAAAAAAAAATAATTCAGAAATAAAAATGAATAAAACTAAACGAATATTGTGGGAGGAGAAGTTGTAAAAGAAAGCAATTTATTTCTTTTTACTTTCTCGTACATACGAAGTATAGAGAAAGTATTGTAATCGTGCAAAAAAAAAAATCAAGATTTTTACAAATCTCGACGTTTTACACCTCACTGATACGGAAAAACATAATTTTGCAATCTTGTCCGAATATCTGTGTGTCTGTGTGTGAATGTGTGTCTGTGTGTCTGTGTGTCTGTCTGTGTGTAAACACGATAACTTGAGTACCGTTACAGCTAGGTTGATGAAATTTCATATATAAGTATTTTATCAAAATCGTACATCCGTATCAACTTTTGAGCGATTTCCGATAACCAGAAGTGGTACTTTTTCTACTTTTTCAAAAGCCTACAACTTGAGTACTATTTCAGATAGATAAATGAAATTTCAAATGTAAGTAAAAGGTCTAATTCTCTACCTTCTGTCAAATTTTGAGTAATTTCCGTTGACCGGAAGTACTAAACTCCCGGTTTATTTAAGAAAAGGAAATTATTAAAAACGTAATTCAATTGAGGAAACATAATAGGAACCTGTGTAATATGATGTTAGAACAAAGCTGGATTCCTGGACAACAAATAACCCTGGGAAAACAATTCCCCACGCCCCCTCCCTCTTCAGTTATTTATAACGGCAGACATTCACACACACACACACACACACTCACACACACAAAACAGTTATGAAGTAAGAGTAGAGCTCGTAAAAAACTTTACGTGTTGCTTACAAATATGCTAATGCACCGTGCTTAATAGCAAATCGCTCACCATTCATAAGTCTAACGCTACCACTGTGCTTAATAGCATATGGCTCACCATTCATAAGTCTAGCGCTACCACTAATACCACAAAATTGTCTTGGTAAAAAAAAAATGTCATGAATTTATTTAAGCCGCTACCTGCATACACATGTATGGTTCACAGAGATATTGAGAACCACAGTTGCACGATCAATTATGACGTCTGCAACAGAGTTTCTTCCAGGCATCTCTTCGGGGGGGGGGGGGGGCTCCGCCCGAAGAAAGTCTACCGCCCCCCCCCCCAACGAAATGGAATTTATATAGAAAATATATACTTTTAACAGTGTCCGCTCCCCCGAAGAAAGTCTACCCCCCGAAAATTTCAAGTGCCCCCCCCCCCCCGGAGAAAAAAGTCTGGAAGAAACACTGGTCTGCAAATACAGCATTGATTCTCGCTTAGAGATATAGTAACTTGTCGAGCGGTTTCTTTGTTGTAACCTTTGACCCTCATACACCCAGGTGTACAAGTATTTATTGTTATATATCTATTGTTGGTTCTAGCTCTCTGCCTTCTTGTAGTGTAATACCAAAACAAATAAAGTTACTTCTGACCAGGGGCGTAGCGAGGGGGGGGGGGGTGCGGACCGCACCGGGTGACACCATTTAAGGTGGTGACACCAAGGCAAAAAATAGCAAAATATATAGAGAAAAGCTTGAGGTGGGGGGGTGCAAATCGAAAATTTGAAAGTTTGTCCCCGGGAAGGGTCGCTACGCCTCTGGGGGGTGACACCATTAAGTGCCGCACCGGATGACACCCGACCTCGCTACGCCACTGCTTCTGACCACCTATATATATTCTTTAAGGTAGAAATAACTTTGTCGCAAGATGTTCAATACACTGGAAATCTGTTAAGATCATGATGTAAATATTGGTATCGAGCGTTAAAACATTAAAAATAATGTAATTATTGTAATGTAGTTCAAAATTGAATATGCAACATATACGTTCGTATTACTCAATTTTATTTTCGTCAATGTGTTTTTATTGTGTTTACTGTGAACACAGCGAGATACCGTTGTATGGTTTGAGATTGATTTTAAAATTTTATGGCCACCTAAAATATTTGCTTACTATTTTTTACTGCCCATTTAAACTGGCTTGTATGATTTATTTATATTTGTTTTATGCTTCTAGAGGCTATTAAAACAATTCAATGTGTTTTAATGCATGTTGTATATTTTAGAAATCTTACACAACTACATGCCGGGTTACACCCTCTCCCCCCCCCCCCCCGAGAAAAAAGTCTGGACGCACCAGATTTGTGATTGTTTGCTTTTTGTTTTCTACAAATATACAATGTATTTTTAGATACGTAATTTTTTGCAAATTTGTATTGTTTTTTTTTAAAACAAAGAACGGTTAATTTCGGAAAGTCTTCTGTTTTGTAAAAATGAACAGTTAATTCACAGCTTTATTTTTAGTGTTTTATAAAAAATTAACAGGTAATTTATAAATGTGTACTTTTTTAATAAATTATTTACAAATTTGTACTGTTTGTTTTATAAAAATGAACAGCTACTTTACAAATGTGCAATGTATTGTAAAAAAGAACAGTTAATTTATTGCAGCGTACTGTTTTTGTAAAAAAACATATATGGTGATCCACTAAATTTATGTATGATATAACTAATACAACAAGAGATTTTTTTAGCAACGCAATTCACTTTTAGAATTGTTATTTTATACTATTCATAATAGTTTTTTTTTTTTTGTTTTTTTGTTAAAATGGTAGTAGACTGTAGTACTAAAAAGTTTAGTCACAAAATAAACATTCCGAGATAACAGAGTTTACATTTACAAACTTGAATCGGCTGTAACACATTGTTTTAATTCTCTCTGATTCCTTTTAAGAAATACTTCAGCATTAATATATGTACATTAGGTAAAGTCAAGCTAGAGGAAGAGTGACCATTCATTTAATCCGTGTTTCTTTCAGACATTTTTTCTTCGGGGAGGGGAGAGGCACTTAAAATTTTGGTGGGGGTGGGGGGGGGGGGGCTTAAATTTCCGGGAT